AAAAAAAAAAAAAAGGAACGGAAAAACGACAAAAACGCGGCCATCGATGCGTGTGCCACCATCCGCGACGCGGGATCGCTTGGTGAGGTGCTGCCATCTTCGCGGCCGAACCGCGAACGCGGACGATCGATTTTTTCAACGAGTTCCTCCGGGTTCCTTGGGTCCACGTTTTGATACCATTATCTTTGCCAGAATGTAGGCACATCGTGGCACTGTTTTTCTTTTTTCCTTTTCTTTTTGGTGATTCGATGATCGGGGGATGGACGATCGGCGAGACGATCGAGATGCCATCTTTGAATCGGTGGTGATGGAAGAGGCGCGGTGGCGGACATGTTGGATTCGATGAGGTAACGTTGCTTCATGTTTCGTGTTTTTTCACCACCAGATTTTTGGAGATTTTGATTTTGTGTATTTGAAGTATATTTGTTTTTGAAGTAGTTCAATTTCGGAGTGTATCGGATTTGCTGAGATAATGTTATTTTTTAGATCTCTTTTCGATGATCGATTAAAGATTTTTCTTTTTGGACTAGTATCATTTGCATTTTCATTTTCATAGATTTGGTGTAGATTTATTTTTATTAGTTTCAATTGGAGTATGTTGAATCTGTAGAGGAAAACGTTTTCTCTTTAAGTTTCTTTTCTTAATGAGATATTTGTGAAAGATTGGTAATACAAAAGATCGTGTATTGTCTCAAATAAATCAATTTGTGCATTTGATTTCGATTTGAAAAAGTTCAATTGGAATAGAGTCTTTGTAGATATATATACATAGATATACATAAATAGAATTTCTGTTTGGAATTTTTAAAAATAATTTTACCTTCTAACACTACTTTTCTTTCTATCTTTCATGAAATTAAAAACATTTTATATAGCATTCTAATATCATTAATATATAAAATATTTTTAAAAATAGTTTTACCTTCTATCTTTCATCATCATTCTAATATATAAAATATTTTTAAAAATAATTTTACGTTCTAACAGTACTTTTTTTCTATCTTTCATGAAATTAAAAACATCTTATATAGCATTCTAATCTCACTAATATATAAAATATTTTTAAAAATAGTTTTACCTTCTAACAGTACTTTTCTTTCTACCTTTCATGAAATTAAAAACATCTTATATATCATTCTAAAATCTTGCACGATTATTCTACTCTAAAAATCCGTTCAAATTAAAGAAAAATTTCCAACGAGCAATCATCTATTCAATCTCGAATAGAATGTTCAAAATTGCTTAATATTCCAATACGACAATGATACAATAATCTGAAGAAATAACAAAAATCATTCGACTGTCTATCCTCATCTTCTTGACAATTTTCTTGCATTGTTTCGACGTTTATGATGACGTTATGATTTCGTTGTGTCACGCTCAAAAAATTAGTTCGATCGCAATCGTGCAATAAAGTTTTTGTGGATTAGCTTAGAAACACGGGTTCGGTGCGGTTCGAGCGGCCAGTTTGCGTCTCACGACGGACGAGGAAGCAGCTTGTCGTCGCAGTTCGACTTTCCACCCTGTCCTGGGGCATTGTCGGCCAAGTCGGTGAGTACCTTCTGCATGCCACGCAATTTTCATGCCTCCGTTTTCTTTTGTGCCCATTCACCAGGCCCCCGATTCCGACCTCGGCCCTGTGCCCCTTTTGTGGGCCGAGGACCGACGGAAAACCGAATTTTACGACCTCATTCTTCCCCTTCAAATTAACCACGAAAATATAAGATTCTTTGTCTATTAGTGTTGTGCAAAAAGATGGAAAAAATTAATTGTATATAATGTATAAAGATTTGTTACATTCTATTATATCAATCCAAAATGGAAAATAAAATAATTTCTTGGAAAAATTCTTTATCCAGAAAATAAAGCTACTTTAAATTTTTTTTTGCAGAATGTGTCTTATAAATGAAACTAATAATCTTTATGAAAATTATGATAAATTATTAACAATTACTAATATATTGGATAATATCCTTGACCATATTGTCCAGAAACCAAAGTAGGATACTTCTTGCTATTAAAACAACAATATTTCTTGTCTTTTGCACAGGTACCCTATAGAAATCGTTAAAAATTATTTATATTAATTAATTATTTATATAAATGAGAGGAATAGCAACTATTTTTTATTTCATTACTTACAAATTTCAATCCTACTAAGGGACAGTTGAAATCTGCATCTCTAATTTTTTTCATAACTATGTTCAAAAGAATTAATCAAAAACCATAAAATATCGAAGCACTCACGAAATATATCTCTGAACCTAAAATTCCTTAGAAGAATTCTTTACAATTCCTTCGTTTATTCCAATGTTTGGTAATAATTCGAAAGGAAGAAAAATTTTTAAAGCACTTCCCTCCAGAGATACCAAGCGCAATTTCTCTCTCCTGAAAAATAAATTTCACGAAGCAAACGACGCTTAAAATTAGCATAAACACATTATCTACCATACCTTGCCAATATGTTCAAGTCTCCACTTTTCAATTGGCCGGCATAAATCTTCATTTCCTTGTCTCGCGTGCACCGAAGCTTCTCTTTTCACAAGAGTGGCGGCCAGGCTCGGCCAAGAAAAAAGCCAGATGTCGAATATTGCGACGAATTTTCGGTCCCCATAAATTGCTCCAGTTTTTCGAAGGAAAGCGCGCCAACACGCGCGTGTGTATGCGTATATGCTGTGTGTGTGTATGCTGGAACAATCGCCGCTTTTCCTTTTATCCCGGAAACAGACCTGCGAACGCTCCTCCGCCATTACTGGCTGGGATCGTGGAGAGACGTTCTCGAAACGTTGGTGAAATACGTTTCGCGTAACGGTGAAACGAAAGGAAGAAAAACGTGAGAGTAATTGACCGAATCGAGTTCTTAAACGAGTGCTGAGAAATCCTTCCTTCTTTGTGTGCTTTCCTGAAATAGAAGTGGTTGAAAGGCAACTTATGAAGATAAGGAAATGGGGATGTAAAGATATCTTTTTTTAAAGAAATATTTGTCCAGAATATATATCGGCTGAATTAACTCTTTAAGCGGATGTCGAGAGATGTTGATGTATAAAACGTAGTTAAATATAAGATGTTGTTTCTTGAGCAAGGATCTTGAATATCTGAATATGTATCTTGATCGAATTCTCAAATTGAGCATCGAGATCCTACTTGTGTCTTCATTATGCGCTTTCCTGAAACAGAAATGATTAGTTGAGAGAATGTAAATGCAGACATTTCTTGATGAATATTTATAATTTATGATTGTACGTTTGTTTTTATTGTTAGGTTGCAAGTTTCTTTGAGCGAAAATATTTGTATAGACATTTAAACAGAGAAAATAATGAACCAATAAGAAAATAATAAAAGATTCAGTATTACCTGTAAATCATTGTGATTTCCAAATTTTTTAGTAATCCAATTAAACAACCAATCAATAGATACAATTATTTACACATATTTTAATATAATAAAAAATCGATGTACAGAATACAAAGATTTTTAAAAAACTTTTTCTAAAAATCCACTCCCTAGATTATTTTCAACGTAGAATTCGCACCTTATTATACCTGCAGCTCGTTATAATTTAAAATTATTTCCACGTGGAAAATCAACTCGTTATCTCGAGATATCGACAGAAACACCTCGTACACGCGATTCCGTTTCGAGGTTTAAACACATTGGAGGAGCCGGCGCCTGATGGCGCGAACTTTCGAGAGATCGGCGGTCTCGATCTCTCTCCGTGCAAATTGAATATCTAGAGGAAAATTGAAGCGACGATGGATGATAGGGTGGCGAGGTATCTTAAGTGTTCGTTTAAATTAATTTCTCGCGGTTGTTAAAGGCCTTAAAGCGTGGGCATTAGTTATTAGGCGGCTGGTGTTAATTATTGGATGAAATGAAGTAAAATAGTGTATTGTGTGAAAATGAGCCTCGTTTCGTTATGGTTCCAGGCCCTCGCGAATAAATATCACGTTCCATCAAGTGTGCACGCAATTTGTTACGCGAAACGATACGCGTGACTTGTACACGACGCATAAATTTTCGACGCAGGTGCACAGGTCCTCCTTTTTTTGTTCCTTCTTTTTCTCTTCGGTTATACCGTGACTTATCATCTTGCTTTATTTTTTCTTCGATGCCAATTCGGTTCTTCAAGTTCGAGGAACGATGCTCAAGTTATAGATAATAGAAATAATAGTGATAAATAGTAACGATCCAATTGGAAATTGAAGATTTCTTCAAGTCAGTCATTTTCATTTCTCCAATAATAAAATTGTAAGTTTGAAATTCGTATCAATCGAATCGAATAAAGTAAAACTGGAAAGATACAAAATTTTGAGTTAAAAAAAAGTAGCAATTAGTTCAAATTTCTTTCATCATAGAAAATTACTTTCACATTGTTTGGAAATAACAATAAAAATTCACGATATTGAAAGAATATAAATTGCAATACAATCACAATGTACTTAGCTTTTGGCAGACGGTGTCGGTACTTAATAAGTATCTTATTTATTAACTGGCTGCATCATTACCCATTGACCTTTAGATCTGGAACGATTACGAGAGGAGCCGTCCATATATCCGCGAAATTATATATTACGCGTTTATCGTGTCTATCCTGTAATTTACATTATTATTAATTACGAGTTGGTATCTAGTTGCATCTAGATCACTGTAATAAACCGAATCCAGTCTCGTCGATCGCAATCTTTCTCGCCTTTTCCGCATCAGGAATTCTCTCAGAAATTACCAACTCGATGTTTCAATCTTAGCTATCATTAAAAGCCGCGTAATGTGTCTTTAATAAACACGAATGATGTAAAACCTCAATTATCCAGTTTTGATTTTTCCTTTGATTATTTTTTTTTTTTCTTAATAACGTTTATAAAAAAAAAAAAAACACTATATTGGAAATGATAATTTAATCGAACATTGATCTTCGTTTCCTTTGATTTATTTTTTTTTGTATTTGGAACATTATATTATTTATATTATCTACGTTATTATTATATATTATCGTGTCATTTATATTACACGTTATTCAAAAGATTCTGATAAAATATACAAGTTTAGTATGTAAGACATTAATATCTTCACTTTTTTGATTTATCTTTTTATCTATTTTAAATATTCTATTATAATTATACGGTTATATTATCTATATTTATGTTATTATTAAATTATTTTATCATTAAACATCATTTGTTTACTATTTCATTCAAATGTTTATCTTGCATTTCATAAAATAATTACCTTTCTAAGATACAATTTTTTAACGACTATAAGAAATATATAGATTAAACGTTGCTTCTATTAATAATAATTCATATGAATTGCATTTGAAAGAAGCAAAAGTTGAAGTCGTAATATAATTAATTGAATCTTTAGCTATTATTTTACATTATACTTAATCTTAATATTCGATAAAGAAAACGTACCTATTACAGTTTCTTATATTTTTTGACACTGCATAAATTTTTATATGAAAATCCTTAGATTTGTTCGTCACTTGTTCGTATAGCAAATGATATTTCACATTAATAAATTGTTGTTATAATCACATCCTCCATGTTGCAATTTCGTTTCATTCATCGACCATTTGGCGCCACCGTCGTTTATTCGCCTTTCGATTTGTGTTTATCGTGCATCTTCTTGGATTCTTCGGCTCTTCAAGCGCGATGAAACAAGCGGAGACGTCTGTGAGACATTGAGTCGTCTCGCTGACAAATGGCCGCCGTTTACGTTCCTCGACCGAATATTTTCGGTGTTTCTTCTTCGTCGTCGTTCCTTTTATTTCGACCGAATCCGTGAACGATTCTCTCGGCTCCATTATGTTGAGGGGATCGAATCATCCTTCCTTGAAAGAAGACTTGATGGATGGAAATGATGGAGGATCGGGGAATATCTAGTAGTTTTATTAGATTAGGTCAGTGTTTCTTTGTTTAGGTTTGGACTAACAAATATGGAGAAACGTGTCGATAACTTTATTGAACAAGTACAATAATATAATTTTTTAAAGTTGATTTGAAAAGAATAATTTTTGTAATTTTGTTGTAGTTTTTGGATGTATTATTTTAGGAAGAAACTTTTATTTATTATTAAAAGTCAGGAATAATAAAAAAAAAATTAGTTCTTTATTTTTACAGATATATTTTTCTTCAAATTCTAGAAGATTCTAGTGATCCAATATTCTACTAGATATATGCAATGTTCTTGATCTTTACATTATCTATAAGTAGTATTTTTTTAATGGTTATATCAATTGAAGTGGAAATATATTGTATTTCACATTATATTGATTACTCGATAATTGTTTCAACAACATTTGCATTTATTTGCATTTATTTACATTCATTCTGATAATCTTATATCATACATTAATTATTTCATAGATTTAAATTAATAACGATTTTTTACAAAATATATTAATTGATTGAGATACAATTGAAAAATTAATAATTTGTAGAATTAAATGCACAATGTACAATAATAATTACTTTTATATTTTCATATATAATTATAAATATGATTTCATCTTTGATCAAAACAGAACTTTGTATTCCTCATTTCTTTATCAAAATTACATTTTTCTTGATACAGAATTTGCTAATTGCTAGTCACGGTTCGTTTCTAGCAGAGATTTTTACCGTCGATTTCTTTATATTTCATTCATTCGGCTAATAACCCCGTCCACCTAGGAAGTAGCACCTGTTTCTAACAATGACTTGTCGCGTATAACGGAGTCAAGATTAATGATGCCTTAATGACTGCATAAATGGTTTCGAGCGGCGTCTAAGTATAACTCAATTCAGACTGTAGAGAATATTCCGTGTGAAACGTAATTACATAATTACATATACGATTGATCTCTCGTTTGATGTATTTTTTATTTGACAGCTTAAAATATTATCGTATTCCTTTTTCTCACGATAATTACTATTTGATAATCGTCGTGTCATCGAGAAATAATTGAACCAAGAGAATTTTTATCCTTTCGAGGAAATAACAATCGATCATTATTTCATTCTTTGATTAATTTGACTTCAATGATTTTCAACTCAAGATTAGAAGAATAATTGAAACAATAGCTTCAATAATTTTTTTTATGTAACAACAAATTAAATAATTAATGAGCAGAATAATTACTTTAATATTCCTTATTTTTCAGATTGCTGCCATTTAGTCGATAACTTTTATCTATTTCAACATAACCTACATTGATAATTCTGTACAATATGGCATTGTAATAACAACGTAATCTTATCATTCCTGAAAATGATTCAAAGTTAATTTTCTAATTTTCCTTTATTTTTTAAAATTCTTTACACCTTACCTTAGCTAATTCTTTAATTTTCCTTCAATTTTCCTTTAATTCAAAAAAATTTTCCTTGCCTTTCCTCTACAAAAATTGAAGAAAATATTACAATTTATTCATAACTCGATCGAAACGTTGAAATATATCGTCTCATCTACCTGCTGAGGCCCATTTTCAAGGGTTTAAAGTGAAATAACGCTCGATTCCGCGTATCGACGGCAAAATGGCGGCGGCGTGGAAAGTTGCGACCAAACTTAGTCCCTTTAGTTAGATTTCAAAGTTAGGGAAAATCGAAAAGCCAGATAAGGAAGTTACCACGGATCCCGTTTGCAGCTCGGTTTGCACGCTCGTTTCCGCATGCGACTTGGGCCGTAATAGCTGGAAAAGAGAAACGATGCGCGTTAGCCCGTAATTAGCGAGCCACCGATAATCACGCGCTCCACGCGCAATTATCTTCGGAAATTTTAGAAAGCTCGTTAGCCCGTCCTTCCAATTACCACGAATACCCTTTTAATTACGCAATCGGCCTCCCGTTGTTAATATTTAATCGCACGAGAGCGCAACAATCCGCCAGGCGAATTTGGATTACGCTGGATTTATGACCAGATTAAGGAGAATATTTCCTTTTCTTTTTTTCTTGTTACGTTTCTTTTGTTTATCGTACTGCTTCTCTTGAGCCTTCATACAGTAATATTCGTATTATCCTGTTTTGTACAATGGATATGGCGAAAGGCTCTATATTTTATATAAAATTTGTTGCGAATTTGCACGTTGTTTGAATTCTTATGGATTCGTCTCAAAGATCCTATCGAGTTTGTGTATCATCTGAAAAATTTTATCAAATTTGTATAAGACATGAAAGATCCTTGTATATGTAAAGAAAGATTCTATTTAATTTATACATCATCTTAAAGGTCCTCTTAAGTTTGTATAATATATCACGTGAAACATCCTATTAAATTTGTTTAATACATTGAACATCTGAAAGAGACTTAGCCATCTTCTTACTTATTTTATTCTACGTTTTTCTTCTCCTTCTTCCGTGTACATTAATCACCCTTTGGCGAGACGTTGGACAACTGGCATTTCACTTTGATGACTGTTTGGTTCCTTGTTTCGTTGCTCTGGAACTGGATGTCAAAGGGTCCATTTGGCTTCTTTTCTGCAAGACGTAAAAGATTAGTCGCGATATTACAAACGGACTCTTTAGTAAAGTCAAACATTTCGCTTGTAATTTTCTTGTCAAGCTGTGATTTATGACACGTTGCGATGATCTTACGTGTTTGTTGATACGGAGAATTAACATTGGAGACTGAAATATTAAAAAAATATTTATGAAATCTTCTTTTTTTTTTTATTAGATTTAAATTTTTTGTAAGTTAATCTCTTATATTTAAACCTAATTAATTAGATAGATACGTTTAAAGATATGTCTTCCAATTACCGTACATTTTGCTCGTTAAAGACTTTATATGTTCTTGCATATCTAATTTCAAAAAAAAATCTTATCAAACTGATAATAAACAAGCCTTTTAAATACATATGAATTACCTACAGTGCAATATTTTTATCGATTCAATTTTCCAAGATTAAAATAATTATTCAATTTCCGAGAAATCTTAACGGACAAATGATAAGCCTTAATAAATTTATTTATTAATTTAACAATCTTCGAAATACTACACGATATAAAAAAACAATCCATCGATCAGTTCGTTACGAATAATAATAAAATTCCATACACCTGTTATACTACTCGATACCATCAGCCATCAATTTTCAACGGAGGGAATACACAAGGGCCCATAATGAATTTTTATCACCTCCAATAATCGGCCTCCATTTTCTTCTCCCGCATTGTATCGCCGATATTTTACCCGACACCGTTAATTCCACGCTTTAATTTCATCCGGATTATCGTTCTGACGTTTGTTGGCCGTTGCGTGGGCAGAAACAGAGGCAACCTGGATCCTGTTGTTTGTCGTTCACCGTTCCAACACACAGGGAATCCCGAGCCGTAACAACCATCGTGAATTGTCTTACACACGTGGCCCTTGTTAAACGCTCTCGACAGTTACAAGGCACCACTCCTGCGTTCCGTGGCCGTAATTGAAGGAGATTTCGGGAACTGTAGAGAGACAGAGAGAGAAAGAGATAGAGAATCAATGACAAAATTCGTCATCGACGTTGATGAATCGTCGAGAAGAAAATACGTTATCATCGTACCTTCGATCAATATTCGTCAATATTCTACACTTACGAATAATTATTTTATTGTCGCCTGCATCAACTTTTGTATTCTTCAGAATCTCGATTCTCCAAAGATATCCTACGAATAACAAATAATCCATGATAAATATACAATCGAAGATCTTAAAATCAACGTAAAATAATAACAATGACACTAATTAACCTCAAACCACGAACGTTCGACGGACGGACTCGAGATTCAAAATGGAGACGGATTCAACGTATCCCGCGAGAAACGGCGGGAAAATTTGATTAACAAAAACGGCGCATCGCTGAATTCCAACTGAAATAACAAAAAAAAAAGCGAAAAAAAAAAAAAAGAAAGAAAAAGGGACAAACGTGGGACCGTCGGGGAAGGGGTGGCGGGATCCCGGGGCGCAACGAATATTAATAACGTGGCAAAGTTAAAAATGTTTACCGTGCGTTACGTTTGATACGAGGGCCACGAACGTGGCAGCAGGGTCCCTCGTGATTGATCGCGCGTCTCTTCGTCTCTCCCTCTGACAACGGGGTGTTTCCTATGGATATTGCTTTGGTACGGTGTTGCACGCCGACCATCTCCCTTCCATGGCGTTCCGTCGAGGCGCACCGACCATACCCGATCTGTTTCTATCCCCCTACGAATCAAATCTAACCCTCCCCCCTCCCTCCTTCCCGTCCTTCTCTTCTTGCTAGGGGTCCTAGACCCTCGGGCTCGCCATGTGCAGGCACGAAAATCATCGTCCAGGAATGTGGCCAGACGTTTCAACCGTCTGAGGATCTTCGTTCAATCCCTGTTACACGTTTTTGGATCATGCATGTACGTGGATGATCGAGATTTGAAGGGGTGTTTGAAAAGGGGAGTGGCAAGAATTGAATTGTGAACAGAGAAAGAGAGTGTTTGTATTGAGTGTTTACAATACAGTTTTTTAGATTTTTCACGGAATCTTTCTGGGAAATTTGTCAATTGATGATGATGCTTGAAAATAAACAAGTTATATATAGACGATAAAAAAGAAAAAGAAGATAGAAGACGGAATTTTAAAGTACGTTCAAATTCAATTAAGATTCACCATCTTCTCGATTGAAAAAAAATTACATTACGATACAATGATTAGAACGTGATTAAATTTTGAAATTAAAAATATTGAAAGGAAAGACGATCCAATAATCGATATTAATTTTCACGACGATATGGACGAGGGTGGATTTCGAATTACGTGGCCACACTCGCATTAGACGTAATGCGCGGCAAATGTTTTTTGACAGGGCCGCGATATTTAATATTCGTTAAGCCTTCCAGTTCAGCCACGCCTCCATATTAACCACGTTTTTTTCTTTCTTTTTTTTTTCTTTTTTTTTCGACGTATTAACGCATATTCCAACGTTAAACGCAATAATGGAAATTGATAATCAGCCGGTCGTTAACGTCACGGCCGAGTAACGATTATTTATTCGTAACGATTTTCGTGGCTGCGTGATTCGCCAAGGGGTGAAAATCGCGATCCACAGTACCGATTAAAACTTTCCTACCCCGTTCCACACACACCTCTCGCGATGAATTCTCCGCTTGATATATCAGCTGCGACTAAAATTAGAATTTTTCTAATAGCCGACAACCTGGTCTTAGAGTGATCCATTTAATTTCATAAGGCGTATCTGTATCTATTATAGTTTGCAAGATACCAATCAACGATTAATCTAATCCATCTAGCGTGTAATGCAATTTTTATTATTATCAAATGTGTCGCTTATTCATCGCAATGATATAATCAAAAATTGATTTTTTAATTGTTATAGGAATAATTGCTTTTTTTTCTTTATACCGATTGACTTTTTGTAAATAATCATTTAGATAGAAATTAGATATTCCGATTCATTTGTTGAACAATAATTTCAAAATATTTCAATCATCGTGTTAAAAAATATAATCATATTTTGTATATTTTCGATTGAACAAGAATTTTCTTCAATTTTTGGGCCTCGATAAATTAATTTGGATCACAAATTTACACATAAAGTATCATTTCAGTTGTTGTTTCACAGGAACAGTTTCGATGATATTCCCAGCCCTCTCTTCGCTTGTGTATTGTAATTATTAGACGTGCTCGATGTTACAGGGGCCGACAAAATGTCAGATATAAATATCGTCTCAGCACGAGCCCTCCCCGCGTGATCGTTTCATATTGATGCGAACACCATACCGATCATCCTGCTGCTTCGCCACCCCTATTTCTTCCCCCTATTTCTCGTGCACAGAGGAAACTCGTATCACAATTAAGTAACAACACCACTACTTACGAATCTTTTCTCCCTAAAGGACGTGACGCACATTGTACACCGACGACAAATTGTTAGACGATTGACTGAGAAAACTCAAAATAGTACACTATTTTTTCGATCCATTTAATGACGAATTAGAAATTATATATTAACACTCTGTTATCCATTATGAATATTCGTATTCGACTACTATTCTGAAAGAATGAAAACACGAATGTGAAACTGACAGAAGATCTATAAAGTCAAATGAACTTTCGAAATAACCTGTAATATCTTCCTCTTCTTTATCTTTTTACTTCTTTTTTGGTTATCGAAAGGATTGGTCGTTTTTGGGCACTCGATGCTTAGCCCGAGGAGGAAGCGCACTCGATGCAATTAATTTTGCTGTAGGGCACAACGTATCGCGATTAATCTTGGCGTGTGTTGGGCAATGGTGTCACAACGGTGGCGATCGAAGTCGTTTCGAGTAATTAGTCGTCGGTGGTCGCGAAAAAAAAAAGTAGCTCGCGCCACGAAGCGAATGGTAGGTACCCGCGGCCATATAATTAGCCGTTTCTCAAATTGGACGTAGCTCGTTGTTGTTAGTTACGCTTAGTCGGTTGATAATCTCTTCTTTCGTTCGCTCGTTAATGAGCGCCCTAGCGGCAGCGCTCGTAATCTTGCAAATGGCTACCGTGCAAACGCGGCTAGACGATGACTGAGGGAGAAGGATGAGGAGGGGGGCACAGGCCAGCTCAAATGAGACGGGAGACGAACGACCTTTGCGCGAGAAACGTCTAATCTGGCCGATAATTTTTGTCCATGTATATTGCCTTCCTTGATAAAAATTTTCTATCTAGGATTCTTTTTTATTTTTTCAAAGTGTGAAATATTTGATTATATTATCCTAGACTATATTATCCTAGACGATAGACTTGGTGAATAGTGACAATGCGCAGTCTTTTTTACTAGTATTGTATCTAGGGTTTTTTTTATTTTTCTCGAGACATGTTGAAAATTTCAGACGAAGTTAGAAAACCGATATAAATTTATTAAAAATTTAAAAATATTGTAATTTGTTTGTTTTAACAATAAAAAAAATTAAAAAACTAAATTTTTCGAAATGTTAAACTTTCGTCTCTAATAAAAATTTTTTACTACGGAAATTTAATAAGTATCTATTATATATTTCAACAGATAGGTATGAACACGAGATATTTGACTTTTTTCGCAAAATATCATTGAATTCTTCAATCTTGACCCCTTTGTGACTATCGCGTTTCGAAACAGCCATAAAACCACTTCACATGTAAATTTCCTTCGGGATCGTTTCATCATCAGCCATTTTCCCAACCTCAAATCTGAATATTCGCATACTTCGTGTTAAAAGTCGAGATTCATTCCGTTACATGCACGTTTCTTCCATGTACATTGCTACCGGATCGGTTAGTTTCTCTATCTTTAACCAATTTAATCTTAAATTAGCATATTATGTAAAAAAAATCAAAGTTCTACCATATTTATTTTATTAAATTCATTTATCTTTGTCCGATTTAACTTAACCTAATCTTAAACATTAACATACGTAAAAAAAAAAAAAAGTCAAGATTTCTTTTCACATTTATTTTTTCTTCATGAACATTTATATTAGATCGGTTGGTTTCTTAATCTTTGCTTAACCATCAAATGTGAACATTTGCATATCGTGTCAAGAATATATTCTCTACCACATTTAAAACTTCTTTGTGCACATTGTTGTCCGATCTGTCGGTTTCTTAATCCTTGCCTAACTTAACCTCAAATATGCATATTCGTTTACGTATTAAGAAACGAAATTCATCCAAGATTTTACCACATTTACAATTCCTTTGTGCATACTGCTACCTGATCTATCGGTTTCTTAATCCATACAGAAACGAATCTTTGAACATTTGGTAGCAACTGGTTGCAGTAGCGAGAATTAACAATTAATCTTTCGGTCCGGTATATTGCGACTGAATCTCAGAGAAGAGGGGACGTTGTAAAGTGGAAGGGGGTCACAGAAAGAAGATAGGAGAATGCAATGAGGAGATATACGTGGAGAAGGCACGTTAAAGAGAGTACAAGTGGACAGAGATGGAAACGGGATGGGAAGTGGGGATGCAGAAGGGAAGAGAGTAGTTACAGACCGGGCATTATGCAAACGACGCAACAATTAGACTGTGGTCTTCCACCGGTTATTTAGTATTTAATATAATTTAACCCGTACTTGGCTATATAATGGCCATCTTCACACATTCCACCAAGACTTTCGAATATATCCAACAGGTATCCCAGTTGTTGTTGTTGTTGTTGTTGTTGTTATTGCCTTGGTCGGTTGGCAGCGTCACTTTCGAGCGATTAATGTCTTACGAGATGCTGGATCTCTCGTTCTTGTTAACGATTAAGCGCCGATAGAGATCTCTCCTCTCCTTGGCTTTTCAACTCGTTCGTCGGCGTGCCTCGAATATATCTATTTGCGGGAATCTCTAATGAACGCGGTCTGCGAAATACATGACATATAAATATTAAACACAATTATTAAAGGCTGATTGTTATACATATTATTTGTTAATAGTGTCTTTTTATAAAATTAAAGGTATGCACAAACAAATGAAAAATTTGTACATGAAAAATGAAGGAATAATAAAACTTTAAAGAAATTTAAATATCGAAGATAGAAAATATAAAAATAGATACCATAGGGATCAATAGGAGTCATAATGAATATTTCATTAACGCGATAAACCGGAGCGTTAAACCAGAATACTCGAATTGAGATGGACATCAAAAGGCCATCACCGCAAAATTCTTAGATACTAATGCCTTTCCACCTTCCAGCACGGTATCATCCTTTCACGAATAGACGTTTTTTGCATAACTTGGCCGTAGGAGTTCGCCTCTCTCGTCGCCGCCATCAGCACCCCCTCCAAAACCTTGCAGAACTTCCCATGTCTCTCACCGACTCCCTCTCCGGACGCTTTCCCCTCCCTCTCTCCCTCCACTCCTTCTTTCTCTCGTTCCATCTTCACTCTTCTCTTCTTTCACCGACACCTCATCTTTTCGTTCACTCTCTCTCTTTCTCTCTCTCTCTCTCCCATTCTCCCTCTCTTCAACAGCAGGCTGCCACGACGGTGTACACGAGGCTCTGCGGCTAAGAGCAGAGCGACGTCGCCGACGCCACGCACCCCGACGTCGCCCTGACGCGCTCCACTGACGCTGCGGAGCGGAGATTAATGGCTTCGGACTCTGAAATCCTGGAAAATAAATAGCGGGGGCGCCGGTGGCGAGAGCGAGAGTCCTGTGGAGCAAGATGTCCCTTTCTCTCTCTCTCTCGTTCTCTCTTCAATCATCTATCCTTTTCTTTCTTTTGTACCAGTGGTCGATGGAGAAAGAGATGGAAGATGAAGAGAGATGAGATGAGATGAGAGTTGGAGAGAAAGAGAGAGAAAGANCGAGGGACCTGCCTACCACTGCCCACCGCCATCGCTGTGTTCCCTTCTTTGTGAGGAACCTGAAGGTTGTCGAAGGGCTGACGCGAAAAGCGACCAGCGTAGAAATTTATCTGGCCGGAATGCTTTTGTTGGCCCGCTT